TGAAGCCAGAGTTTCAATTTATCAAGATGTTCCACAGTAGGAAAACCACAGTTTAAAAAGAGCTGTTGTTCTGAAATGAAAATCCTTTCACCCATAGAATTGTTTTTAACTAACTCAGTCATGTTGGATAATGATTAAATAAAATGGACTAGGAATATAGCTCACTAGTGTAGCACCTGTTTAACATGCAAATTCTATCCTAATATTTATAAGCATAATAATGATGGAAATGGTTCAAGATATAGTATTAATTTTTCTCTCTTGATTCATTGCGTATCACTGTCATGTTCACTTTGAGTACTTATGGATATGATTAAAAATAGAACTACTAGGGCAAATGGCACAGCTCACTTGAGAGCTTGCACCTGATATGAATGAGTCCTTGGGTTCCCTCTAATACTAAGACCTAAGCAAAATGAAACCCAGCCACTCCATCATAAGTATGCTTTGTTCTTGGATGAAAAATAGGTAAACTTGCATGTAACAAAGACTAGTATTGTGACTGAAATAATCATCATATTTACTTTGTTTTATTTCCTGAACATGTAAAAATATACATAGCCATTTTGTATAATGTACAAAAAGAACTTTGAATATGTTATTGAGTATAGGTAGATTGGATAAATTGTAAGAAACTAGAAAAATCAAGCATTTTTTATAACCATGATAAATAAGCCCAGAAGGAAAAGTTTATGAAGACTTGCAGGAGTTTTGTTTGTTTTATTTTTGTATTTATTCAGTTCTCTCAACTTTGATGCTGTAGAACACTAGCTTTTTCCTTTCCAGCCCTTGGATAAAAATGGTTCCACTTCATTTACTATGGAACATATTTGCTCCTAAGTAGTTCCATGGAAGCCAGAATGATATAAGCTTGCAGCTCTGTAGTTGCCCTGTTTTACAAATGCTTATAGCTGATTAATAACAGTAGAAGCATTGTCTGCATAAATTGGTGTGTTTTAACTTGTCTAATCAATTTAAGAAGCTAACTACTCTTCTCTTTTGTAGATCTAAAAACCTTTAGCTTAAGGGAGTAGTCACAAAAATTATACTTCAAAATTTAGTTTAAAAATTTTCTTTAAAACTAAGTATAGACTGTCTTAGTTAGGATTACTCTTGCGGTAAGGAAACACCATGACCAAAAGCAAGTTGGAGAAAAAAGACTTTATTTGACTTACACTTGCACATCCATTGTCAATCACTGAGGGAAATCAGGTCAGGAACTCAAGCTGGACAGGAACCTGGAGACAGGAGCCGATGCTAAAGGCCATGGAGGAGTGTGCCTTATTGGCTTGCTTTCCATGAGGCAGAACCAGGACCAGTAGCTCTGGTCTCTCCACTATCTATGACCAAATAACAAAATGTCCTACATGCTTGCCTATAGCCTAATTTTATGGAGGCATTTTCTCAGTTGAGTTTCTTTCTCTGTGATGACACTAGCTTGTGTCAAGTTGACATAAAACTAGCCAGCACAGACATGTTTGCCTGGTGAATTGTTGCCTGTATTTAAGGGGAAGGGACAAAAGTAGTGATTGCTCTGTTTCCTCAATAGCAGTTTTGAGGGCAGCTTTTCCTCTCTGCTGCTTTTCAGTTATGCCTGTGAAGCTGTATAAAGGAACAGATAAGGACTTAATGACATGGACTAATAGACAACACCCTTACATGTTTTAGTACTTTGGACATTTTCCTTTCCAGTTTCAGTGCTGTTAGTATGTAAATAAAGTAAGGGGTGCAAATAAGGAATTGCCATCAACCTGGCCAGTAGTGTTCTTGCAACTTTCATTCTACTAACTTGTCTTTGACCCCATTTTGCACCTTTCACTTGAGGCCCCATTCCTAACAGGTAATTGTACTTCGTTATACATGGGGTTTATGGTATCTGGTTTGAAGGGAATGTCAAGGGTTGCTAGTAACAAGCCATAGTTACTGATCTTGTCTCTGAAAATTTGGAGTCTGTCCAGTACCTGGACTCTCCTGTGCCAGTACTGAGAAGCAAAATGTGCCTTGGAGCTTCAAGTAAGTCACACAGTCTAAACTCCTACAGTGCCTGCCTGTTGTTGTCTGCTCAGTGTAGTGCTATAGTACTGCATCATACAATGTCATTTTAATGGTTAAGATTATTCTTCATTAGGTTCTCTGTGCATGTTTGATTTATTTCCCTCCCTGAGCTCTGTCGTTGGACCGATGGACATGGGCTACTTTCCTTTTTCTGAAATAGACTGCTTGCTTTCGAAAGTGAAGTCAGTCTTCATATTTTTTGGTAGTTTGGGAACACTATGCTGGAATTGTTTTCTTTAACAAAACGTAAGGTATTTGCAAAAGCATCCCCATTGCTGATGCTGCCACTCTTGAGAGGAGAAAATGAGTAAAGAGATGACATTTTTTCCTACAATATATTCTTTGACCCATGACTAAGAATTGTAACTGCTAGTCTTTATAATATATACTGATAGAATTCTATTGAATTTTTTCTTTCTTTCTTTCTTTTCTTTCTTTCTTTCTTTCTTTCTTTCTTTCTTTCTTTCTTTTTTTTTTGTTTTTCAAGACAGGGTTTCTCTATGTAGCTTTGGAGTCTTATCCTGGCACTCGCTCTGGAGACCAGGCTGGCCTCGAACTCACAGAGATCTGCCTGACTCTGCCTCCCGAGTGCTGGGATTAAAGGCGGCCACCAACGCTTGGCTCTATTGAATTCTTAGCAGTGATGTGTTGAAAGGTGGTAGAGTCAAGGCTGTATCCAGTAGTCATGCAACTTTCTCATAGCCATTTTATTTTATCTGTGTGCTTGGGAAAGAAGATAACTTCAAGGACCTCTTCTATTCTTGATTTTTTAAAGAACTACCTGAAATCAGGACAATGCCTACTATCTTAGTCTGTTCTGACTGTACTAGTATAATGCCTTACAATGAGTAATTGACAAGCAGCATGAATTTATTGTTCATAATTCAATAGAGACTGAAATGCCCAAGTCCAATGTACCAGCAGATTAGGTGTTTATTGGGAGCTTACTTTTAAATCAGTACTTTCTCCCTGAATTCTCACATGGTGGGGGTGAAGGTGTTCCCTTCAATCACATTAATCCTATTTATGTGGGTAGAGAGCTCTTACATTGTTTAAGTTTCAGCAACATCAAAGGATAGATGTTTATACCACAGCATCCACTTAATTAACTTCCTTTAGCTTTGAAACTGTATGTGCTGTGAGATATATATGTATGTGTAAAGTACTATCTCGGTTACTTGTCTATTTCTGTGATAAACACATAACCAAGACATCTTATAGAAGAAAGCGCTTGACTTGGTGCTCATGGTTTCAGAGGGTTAGAGTCCATGACCATCATGGTGGGGAGCATAGCAGCCGCAGACAGTCATGGCACTCTAACAATAATTGAAAGCTCAATTCTTGAGATACAGCAACTAAGTAGAGAGGGACGCTGGGAATGGTGTATTTTGAAACTTCAAAGCCTACCCCCAGTAACACACTTCCTTTAGCAAAGCCACACCCACTAACAGTTCTTTGTTCTGCCAACTGGGACCAAGTATCTAAATGCATGAGCCTATGGGGATCATTCTCATTCACATCACCACAGATACACATATTCTCCCACTGTAATATGTATAAGATTTTATATACCTACGTTTTTCCCTTGAATTTTTAGCTTTTAAACCATCAGCTTCCCCCTAATATTGTACAATAGTTGTGATGTTTTTACTGATCTAAACTCCATAATGCTTGCTCTTCTTATGTATATTGAAGAGATCAGCAACCTGAGCGAATACAATAGAATTGAAATGCAGTTTAAAATTAGGTCTTTTAAAAACTCTTTGCCGAATGTACATGTTTAACTTTTTTCTTACAAATCAGCCACTCTTATTTTAGAACTGGTTTTGTATGCACATTATTTATCTGGCACTAAAGTCTTTTTTAAGACTTATTTTATTTTTATTTATTTATTTGTGTGTGTGTGTGTGTGTGTGTGTGTGTGTGTGTGTGTGTGTGTGTGAGTGCACACGCATGCCTGTTATGGAATGAAGATGGTTATGGTGTCCTGGAGGACAGGAAGTTGGAAGCTGCCTAGGGTAGGTGTTAGGAAAAACTTCGGTTCTCTGAGGGGGAATGGTCTTAACCACTAAGACATCTCCCAGCCTCTTAAGCTTAACATTTTATACTGTGTTTTGCGATAGGATCTTGTGATTTCTAGCCTTTTTTTCTGTTCTGATATCTTGGCTGTCAACTTTTCCTCCTTTTATGTGAACAAAATGATGAAAAGTTAGACTGCCATTTTGATCTCTGTCTCCCAGAACATTCTCATTTTGTCCACTTATTTATTACCATTTTAAATACCAGAGGGATATAATGTGGGAAATTACCAATACAGAGCCAGGTAAAAATACAAGGGATTTTAATAGGGAAAAAGCCTTATTTACAGAGCGACCTAGCCCGCCGGCGGGCAGTAATCTATACAGCAAGCTGAAATCGAACCGAAACCGAAACCTGCCACCTAAATGCCCCTCACTCTATGTCACCCTGACCATGCCCTCACAGGTGTGGTCAGGCACACTGTAACCAGGCCCTAAGCAGGCGTGGCTACAGCATCCCATACAGAGATATGCATCTCTGTGGACATCCCTGAGGTACTTTTCTAGTAGGAATTTTAAATCTGCAATTCTGTGATCTGTTTTCTGAATTCCCAGAAGACTAACTCCAGGAAAGCTGAGAGTTAGCTCTGTTAAGACAAGAGAAATTTATTGTTGGTGAGTTATGGATAGGAACTTGGGCTTTTGGAATAACCTTTACTCTCACTGTGCTTTTGGGGGGGTGTGGGCTTGGAGATTGGCTATTTAGGGATGAGCCAGGGTATGTACGATGTGGTGAGAAGGAACTTGTGAGATTACTTGTCAATCAGAGTCAGCTCCCACAGTTCATAACTCTAGAATAAGAATGTAAGTAGAGGCTGTGACATGCATTTGTTACATTTGCATCTTCTTTCTCTTTTATTGTGATAGGTTCACCAAGCTGAAGAGCCTTAACTTTTCCAATAACCACCTAGGAGCCTTTCCTTCAGCAGTCTGCAGCATTCCAACCCTAGCAGAGCTGAATGTGTCCTGCAATGCTCTTCGAGAGGTCCCAGCAGCTGTCGGAGCTATGCAGAAGTGTGTACTGTAAACCCCCGGGGTATCTGGGAGGCCCCGTGGAAGTTGCACATCATATTAATTTGTTATGTTTGCCAAGGAACTGCTGGCCCCACCTCTAGCAGGAGGGCACTTGTAGTCTGTAAAGCTCATGTGTTAAAAGAGTTTAGATCTTCAGAGTCTTGTAAGAACTAAACTGCAATTGTTTTGAACTGCAGTCCCTGTGAATGAGTAGATCTAAGCATTGGAAAGAGGTTACTTTTTCATTTTCTGAGCTATTAAATTTTAAGTCTTAGAAATGAATTTTAAGAAAAAAATAAGTAACAGTGCATATTGGGACAGGTTTGCATTGCAGTTAATACATTTCCCCATGTGTACCTTTGCAAGTCGAGGAGATTGGCAGCATTTCTCATTCTAATAGAAGGCTAAGGTTCTTATTTCTGATCTTATCCCCCTTGTCCATTGTTACCTTCTGCATGTCCTTATGCATTTTGCAGCATTACAGTAATGTGATCTTCATGAACTTGTATGTTGATAAGAAAGTTGGAAAATGTACATTTTTCTGTGTAATTGTTATGTCTTCTTTGATAGCTTGCAGACGTTTTTGCTGGATGGGAATTTTCTCCAGTCTCTTCCTGCTGAGTTGGAGAACATGCACCAGCTCAGCTATCTGGGTCTTTCCTTTAATGAATTCACTGACATTCCAGAGGTGTTGGAGAAGTTGACTGCTGTGGACAAACTCTGTATGGCTGGGAACTGTATGGAGACCCTCAGACTACAGGCTTTCAGAAGAATGCCTCATATTAAACATGTGGACTTAAGGTAACTTCTTTTGAGAAATATATCTCATTTGACTGACTGGTTTGTATTGTGGGGTGAACTAGTACCCAGAGGGAAGAAATGACTGATTGTGGGATTTGTTCTTCCATGAAGCTTGCTTTGAAAAAAAATCCCACTGATGAATGACTTTGCATTGTGAGGTTTTCTTTGGTTTTGTGAACCTGAACCCAGCTTTAATTTGCATGAATATATAGGTGCACTGGAGTAGATGACTCTTTACATTAACTGAAAATCATCGAGAACATGGTGGAGATTGTTCCCCATCTTATCTGTGTCATACCTGAGATATTTGATACTGTGGAATGTCTCTTGATTTTCCCCCCTTAATTTAATGTACACATTAAGTTAAATTGATTTAACTTTTTCTATATCCATTCAAGTGGCTCAGAACTTAACTTACCATTCTTCACAAAAACATAAATTATGTAATTAATCTCCTATCCAAAGTTAGCTATTCCCTTTACTCTGATACCTTGTAAAAGCAGAGAGCCTTCACTTTTAGTCCAAGCACACTGAAACCCAGCTAGGAATCTCTGGCACTGTCTTTGCTGCCCATGGATAGTTTGCCATCATCCTTTGGTAAATAAGCTTCTATCAGTTTTTAATCACAGAGATACCTTACACAAGAGGATCCATTTTTGCATTCCCTTAGAGATGTATTTATTCTATTCTCCATAGAATAGTGTTTTGCCTGAATGCATGTATGCACCATGTGCATGCCTGGGGCTCACTGATATCAGAAGAGGGTGTCAGGCCCCCCTAGAACTGGAGTTACAGACAATTGTGAGCTGCCTTGTGGGTACTAGGAACCAAATTCAGGTCCTCTACTAAGACAAGCAAGTGCATTTAACAGCTGAGCCATCTCTATATGCCCAAGGAAGATGGTTTTTAAATTTATCTTTTTAAAAGAAAAACAAGAGCCTGTCATGGATTTAATTTCTTAGAGAGCAGTGTACATGGCTGTCTTACTTCTAGCTTACTCAGTTTGTTACTTTTTCAACTAAACTCTCCATCTCCCCTGCTGCCATTCACCAGAAGTTGATGTCCACTTACTAGCCATAGTAAATCTTGAGTGGGATCATTTCTATGTGTCTGCTTCTGATCTACAAATGACAGTTAATAATAGAACCTAATTTGTGGAGTTGTGGAGAGAATTGAGTTGAACTGCCTAGCACTTCTGCAAAGGTTATGTTCAGTTGTTATACCGCCTGAGGCCTATCTCCACTCCTGAAGCCTGTTCAGGTGTCTTTCTTGGCATCTTTACTCTGTTTGTGGAAAGTGGGTCTGTCCTTGCTTCACTACCCACTTTCCCTTCACGATAGCTCCAGTGCTTTCTGAGGCTCATTCAGTAAAGTGACTTCATTAGCTCCCTTTTTTCCCACTTATGTGGTTTGGCTTCTGAACCATACATCCTGCAAATGGAGAATTGCTTAGCTTCATCTTTCCTCATGCTAAAGAACGAAGGCTTTCCTGACTAGGGGGTATTAATGGTATGCAGGACTATAATTCTTCATTTGGCCAGTATAAATAGTTGTAATTGATCTGAGTTTGAGAACTTTTTAGAATGGGACAGGGACTGACACTTTGCCTGGTTAAATTTATTTACAAGCATAATGTTATTAGCTTGAGTTGTTTGAATAGATAATTTTGTATTTCAGAATGTAGGTCTATTTTTTTTTCAGTGACTCAATGGTATGGCTTTGTTAGAGCCAGCAATGGTAGGGGCACTGACCTCAGGTAACAAGCTTGAAATGGTTTCAGAGTTTCGTGGTACATGTGACAAATCATTTTTCTTGAATGAGATTACAAAAGAAATTGACTTAATATGTCTCATAACAGTTCTTAGAAAGAGCTCTGTGAGGTTCTGTGATTGTGATTATATATAATATATTATACACACACACACACACACACACACACACACACACACACACACACACACACACACATATATATTTGTTTTTTGTTTTTCGAGACAGGGTTTCTCTTGTTGCTTTGGAGGCTGTCCTGGCACTCACTCTGTATACCAGGCTGGCCTGGAACTCAGAGATCCACTTACCTCTGCCTCCTGAGTGCTGGGATTAAAGGCATGTGCCACCAACTCCCAGTGGGATTGTGATTTTAGTTTGAGTCTTTTTGGATGACATCCGGGAGATGCTGTTTATCAGAGCAGACACTGGACATTTTGTAAATACTAAGTGCACAGGTAACAGCTTCTTTCTGGGTTCCTGTGTTAAAGCAGAGGGAGAGAGTGTAGATTTGCTTCTAGTGCTGCCTTGGTGCTTTCGGTTGAAGTTTGAGGTATCACTGAATTCCCTCTACACAAACAGCTGATTTTATTGCATTTCCTTCCAAAAGAAATGTTACATCAGACTTAATAACAATTACCTTTTCTTTTATCCTTTCCCCTACATTGACATTCATCAGTATAATCAATCAGTCCTCCACCTTTGCTTAGCCCTCTTTGTCTTCTTGGGACCAGGTTCCCGTCAGCTGCCAACTGCACCATTAATCCTTAGTTTCCCTTATTTACATCCTTATCCATACCTGTGAAGCACAGGTTTTCCTCAGTTGTGTCTGCTTCCAGCCCACTAGCATATAAGTCCTGTGCAAGAGGCTGTGTCTTAAAGCTGCTCACTGTGTGCTCCAACATGGGCTGGGAAGCCATTTCTTTGCTACTTTTCCACAATGAGATAGAAACTGTGTTTTAGAAATATGTGGTGATTTGAGATTGATGCTGTATTCAAGCGCTTTATGACAGATTGATTGTGCAGGAAAACAGCTGATGTAAGTGTTAGCTTTGAGTAGCAAGTCATATGATAGAAGCTTGTGTATGCTCTGATGACTTAGAAATTTAGAAAGCAGGCTCCTTGTCATGGCCTGTTAGGCAATGCTCTTACTTAGCCTTGCTCTCCCAGTATTAGCATTTGGTAGATAAAGCCCTTGCTAAATACTTGTAATGGACTAGTACATGAGCATAGTCAGCATGTTACTATTCCTTCCATCCACTTAGCTTGTAGCACACTTGAAAGTCACACATAGCATTCTTCCTGCCTTTGATCTAGTCCCTACTCTCTACACTCTTAGGATTCAGGTGGAGTGCACCTGCTTTGTAGGTTCTCTGTATTTTGTACATTCCTACATCATCACATACTTAGTTCTCCTATGGAGCACTGCAAAGCTCTTCATCTTGCAATGCTTACTATAGTTACTCTTATCACTATAAAGCCAGAGGTGGTCACCATGGCCACAGCCCTTCACAGTGTACACATACCTGGAACACAGGTATTTCTTCCATTTTTCTTAACTATTTTACAGAATAAGAAAGATGTTTTTCTCATTTGACAGATGAGAGTTAGGTGACTGGTGCTCAAGGTCTCTACTTGGAGCTAGAAGATAATCCTTGGAGCTGCTCTTCCACACACAGGAATGCCACTTTCCTTTCCTCATGGACTTTCTTCTGATTCTTCATTAAAGTTCTTTTTCATCATCTTGGTACAATACAGTGACTTGTGGGTAGGTGGGTGGGTTGTTGTTTGAAATGAAAATGATAATGCTATTATGGTCATTCAAAGTATAATTTGGGGGAGAACATTAAACATTCTTTAAATTCCTTCAGTCCTGTTATCTCCAAAATGAGGCTTTTTTTCCCCCTTTGTGCACATTTTGATCATCTAGTGAGCATTTGGAAATAGGCACATTTCTGGGCTAAGGCCAAATTTTGAATCTTACAACCCAGAACAAGAAAAGAAGGAACTAAAAACATCATTTTAGGGACATTTGAAGACACCATGTGCTGCCCTTGACAAATCCTGGCTCTGTGCTGTCACTCATCCTTCTGTTGCTTAATAGCTTATATACTTATCTTATATACATAGTTCCATTTTGTTTTCTGAAGGGCAGAACCTCCAGAGAATGGCTGATCTTAAACGCCCATGTATAATAACAGTGCAAGCTCAGGGCTTTCTCACTGCGGAGAGAGGTGTAGCCTATCTTGGTGCCAAGAAGTGACATTTCCATCTATTTTCTTGCAGTGGGGACTAAATTTATATTTGTAATATTGGTTTCATAACTTTCTCATAATGATTCATTAATGCTTGTCTTTCACAGCTTATCTACAATAGCTTCACTCAACCAACTATTTTATCATGACAAAAGATTCTGCCATCTTTCCTATATTTTGCTCCATTCTAAAATTGTTGATCCCCATTGAGGCTCTTCATTTTATGATTTCTCAATAATCATGATGCCAGTGTTCAGTGTCTTCTGCACTTTGCTCTTTTGAGTAGTAGTCTATGTATGGAAATAGCTTTAGCTATCAGTCCTGACCCTGACAATCAAGAATCCCTGTACCTACCTTTCCATCTCTTGTGCTCCCATTTGATATGTGACTTGAGGTCATTGTCCTTTATACTTGCCTATCTTCTTTTCAGTGTGTCCTTCTTTTCCATGCGTCCGTCTCTTCCTTTAGGGAGCCAGTGCAATGGCAGTGTGTCTCAGGTGGTTCTGGATTTGTTTCCAATGTTCATTCCAGTATGCCATCTGTGCCTTCCCAGCCTCTTTCTTTGGAAGTGCCTAAGTAGATATTTTTCTTCTTTTAGAGTGAATTAAGTGAAATCAATATACTTGCTCCTCTTCCAGCCTTAATGGCCTAAATTGTGTTTCAGACCTCTTAGAATTGTAGCTAAAAATAGCTAGCAAATCTTCCCAGTTAAAAAAGGCCGATGCTAAGATTACAGACAGCATGGAGAACTCAAATACACTAAGACTTGAGTCCTTACTGCACACTATTTGGGTTCAGCAGTTTATTTCTAGCATTGTAGCTAAGGAACTTGTGTTTGTGTCCTTCCTCCTTAAGACTGAACATACTCAGAAAGCTTATAGCAGACGAAGTGGACTTTGTGCAGCATGTCACTCAGCTTGACCTTCGAGACAATAAACTTGGTGATCTAGATGCTATGATTTTCAACAACATAGAAGTTCTGCACTGTGAAAGGAATCAGCTGGTGACATTGAACATTTGTGGCTATTTCCTAAAAGCACTATATGCTTCTTCTAATGGTAAGTGGCAAACTACATCCAAGCTGCTCTGTTTACCCAGCACCATCATCCATGCCTCACTGACTTTATTCTTTCCTCATTTAGTAAAATGTTAAACCCTTCCAAGATAAAAGTCATGAAAGAAGAATGTTGGCTTGTTATATACAGGAACTAGAAGGGAAGATTTTATTATTCCTAGTTGTTTTTTTATGTCATGTTAAATTGCTCCCAGTGGTCATTTGTTCTGCTTAAAGCAAGGTAAACTGTTTTGTTGGCTTCCCAATTAAATACTGGAGTATAGAAGGAAAGTCCACTGTAGACTCCATTCAAGACCTACAATTTTGTGTTCCACTGACAATGGGATTACTTATGTGCCCACAGGAATATCCTGAAAGCAAAATTCTTAGTTATTTAATAAGATCCCTTATTTGGGGGTTGTTTATTACCTGTGGAATGTATGGTGTGGAGTCAGATAGTGCGACTACAGGAGAGACCCTTAGGAGGATGTATGTGGCAGATGCGATGCTTTCTCACCGATAACAAGATACACTTACAAGAGAGGAGGAGAATCCACTCACCACTTGTCCAGGTTACCAAGACAGACTTGATGTGAGCTAAGGGAACCTGCAACCAGGCTGTAACTGTGATGCTTGACTCATCTGTTCTAAGGTGGGTGGGTGCCTGAAACGTTGGAAAGAAGAGAGCTGGTACCAAAAGTTACTCTGTAAACCACTCACTGGGACCAGAGTGGGCTGAACCTGTGAATTAAGAGCAGGCCTTTCAGAAACTGCTCTGTTCAAAGAACAGAGCCCTAGACAGATAGTGATGTCCATTTCCTAAATACAGAAAACCTTCTGATCTTAGTAGAGGAGCTCACTTACGATGCTCCCGAGTGTGCTGTCCCAGTTGTGAGGGAGTCAAAAACGAGGGGTGTTTCATTTTGTGGATGATCTATGAGAATTAAAAATATGCTGTTCACTTGGGTGACCTTTTAGTACAGTTTATCACATGTAACGGTGAGGGAGCACATATATGAGAGAGAGAGTGACTGACTCACACATGGTAGCACTGGAAAATGGCTTTACTCTCCTGCAGTTACACAGGAAGATGCATTGTACTTCCTAAACTAAACAGAGGAGGGCGAAAGCCAACACTTCCTACTTATGGAGTCACGTGGGTAGTAACGTGTTTGTGTTCTTTCCCCTCCTAGAACTCATTCAACTTGATGTTTACCCGGTACCGAATTATCTGTCTTACATGGATGTCTCAAGGTAAGAAGGCGGCACCTCACAGAACTGCTGGCCTATTGGGGAGTTCTTTAGCTTATTCCATCCAAGCCTATGCCTAAGTTTTTGTTGTTGTTGTTTTTTTAATTTATAGATTTTGAAGGAAAGTAACAAAAACTAAAATGTCTTAAAATAATAAAAATTAAACTTAATTTAAAATTTCATCTAAAAAAAAAAATCAAGTGATTTTGGATGCCATCCTTTGTGATCATCCTGTATCTGAGTTCAAACTCAGGGCCTCATCCAAGCTAAACAAGCCCATACCATTTAGGTAGCCCTCTAGCTCTGGAACCAATTTGGACTCTAGGTTTGCACCTACAAGACTTGAAACTTCAGGTGACTTGAAGGTCCAATAGCCCTTTAAGTGTATTAATTGTATGCTGCTGTTTCTCTAAGTTCCTTTTTGACACTTTGTATACACATGTACTTGCCTAAACCTCTGCGAGCTGTTGAGCTCTTAGCTTGCTGTAAATAGGCAGAGCTTCTGATGTTTCTGCAGTGAGTCTTATTGATTCCAGTGCCAAAAAATACAAAAATAGATGTTCCCCCCTCCACTTGACATAAAGGCATGGCTTTGTCTACAGCATGTATTCACACAAGTGAAACTTCAGTAATTTTAACCTACTAAAATTGAAAGTCATTTTAAGCAAAGACCCAAAATTTTAGAACACATAGGGTCTGGCTCTCTGGAGATGCCAACTCTAAGCTGTTTGAGGGTGTGGATTGTGGTGTTTGTGAGGCACCATCCATTGCAATCCCAATGGCAGTATGAGTTATAAGGCATAAAATTTTAACTTTCATCATGAAAAGCATACAGATTAGGCTACTTTAATAATAAACACCTTTTTAGTTTTTAGCTACTGGAAGAATTATTTCATTTGTAACTATATTATAAACTTAGATATAAAGCTCTTTGAATGGTTTCTTGAATTTGCTATTAAATTTCTACAGTGTATTTAATTAACTTAAATTCAGACATTACTTGATTAAGTTCTTAGGTTTTTTGTTTTCCACACCTCCTTATCAACTCTGGGTTTAATTTTTCAGCCTTTAAATGAAAACAGGAGTTTGTATACATAGGTACATATGCCTTGTACAGATTTACTTCAGAGAGTTGGCTATTGAGTGAGCCTGTTTTCCCTCTTACTCATAGAATATAATTGGCACATAGTCCTCATTGGAATCCCTAGGTCAGATCCCTAAATTCGTCACTTAAATATTGTTCATCTTCCTTTGTGACTTTGGCACATGACATGCCCTTCTTGTGGTCTGTGTGTGTTTATGTGTGTGGTCAGATCACTTAATAAAATCTTTAATTATTGTCAAATGTCCAAGTAAACATTTTCAAATATCTAATTCTAAGTCTTAACTGTTAGTGCACCATTTCACTTCCCATTCTTCCCAGTAACTGTATTTTCATGATGCAACTAGAACTGAGAATTATTTTAATGCTAATGCCAATGATAAAAATATAAACTTGAAAGTAACACTTTGTTAATTGATCATTTGACTTAACTGGATCAATTTTCCCCTCAGTACTAGTCCTCTTTCTGAATTTGCAGTGGTCTCTAAAGGAGTGTTAACAACTGAGAAGTAGAAATCTTTTAGATGTTAGAGATGGTGCAAATGCTGTATCTGTTAGTTTTTATTTCTACTCTAGTATGATAATTCATCTTGGTTTTAAAATACAGTGATTTCATATATCCTTTTGACCTTGTTCATTGTATTTTGGGATTTTTTTCAAAAGTTTTATTCCTCTGTAGTTGTTTTGAGCTTAAAAGTACATTTGAGGAGCTGGGCCCAGAAGTAAAGTGTGTGCTGCTCTTGCAGAGAACTGTCTATCGTTCACTTCCAGCACCCATACCAGTGGCTCACTGTCTGTAACTCCCACTCCAGAGGATCTTATGCCTTCTTCTGGCCTCAGTGGGCACCCAAATGAAAGTGTACATATACTCAGACATACATAAATTTAAAAAAAATTAAACCACATATTTGAGGCCAAATTTAACTTTTAAAATAATTTTTATCTTCTTATCTTCAGAAACTGTCTAGAAAATGTGCCTGAGTGGGTATGTGAAAGCCGAAAGTTAGAAGTTTTAGATATTGGCCATAACCAAATATGTGAACTTCCTGCCCGGTAAGTATTTCAGATTAAATGAGAGGATAGAATTTAAAAAAAAAAATAGTTGATCAGTGACAATATACTGACTTATGTAGTTGTGTGATGTTTTTTATTCTTTTGGCTTTCTGAGGTGCCCTGCCACCCAACTCCCAAGTAAATTACACATGGAGGCTTATTATTACTTATGAATGCCTGGCCTTAGCCTGTCTTGTTTCTAGACAGCTTTTCTTATCTTAAATTAACCTGCCTGCCATTTCCTTTGGACTTTTATCTCTCTCTTCTGGAAATCCACTTTCTCTCTTATTCCTTGGGTGGCGGGGTGGCTGGTCCCTGATGTTCTCCTCTCCTTGTTCTCAGGTTGCTCCTCCTTTCTCGTTTCTCCTGTTTATTCTCTCTGCCTGTCAGCAACACCTAGCCTTTGCTCCTGCCTCGATATTGTCCCATCAGCTCTTTATTAGGACCACCAGGTGTTTTAGACAGGCACAGAAACACAGCTTCACAGAGTTAAACAAATGTAGCATAAACAAAAGCAACACACCTAAAAATAATATTCCCCAACAGACTTAGTGTTTATCTTATTAGCTTGTTGTTGTGAATCCCAAGAGACTGTTTTCAAATGTATTCATTGTTTTTTTATTCCTGTATTGTCGTAGGGTGGAGAGTAGAGTAAGCCTTTGACTTTCAGGCTGACATTGCAGATGTGGTAGTGTTTATTGGAAAATTGCAAATAAACCAGGAATGTACCTCTTGGATCTTAATTCTTTCTACCTTACCCTAGATAATTTTTGTTTTCCCTGGGATACGATTTTGGTGGTTGTGGGACATGACACAGTTGGATACTGTTAGATCACTGCACCTTCAAAGAGCAAACTAGGTGGTCTTTTTCTCTTTGAATTCAAATTTGAAATAGGAAATCTACAGACATCACTTCCTTTCTCCCCTTTAACTCTTACCTTTTGCCATAATTTGTGCTTTTTAATAGTATTGGGGTGTGTGCATGGTTTACACGTGGAGGTCAGAGGACTACCTTTCGGTTAGTCCTCAGTGTCCACCTTGGAGAAGACAAGGTCTTTTTTATGTGCTGATGCATACATAGGCTAGCTGGCCCCCATGTTTCTGAGAATCTCATTTCAACCATAGAAGCACAGGATTTCATACATGGGTGCTGCTGCTTCCGGCTTGACCGGGTTCTGGGATCTGAATGCAGCTTGTCAGGCGTCACAGCAAGAGCTCCAACCACTGACTCATCTTCCCATCATAATTTGTTCTTTAATAATAAGATTTTTGAAGTAGCCATGTGATGATTTCTAATATCCATAGATGTAGATAAATCTTTTCCAGTTAAATAATTGTGACTACCCAGGTAGTTAATGAACCATAAGAGAAGTCCTTCCTAGGCTCTCCTGGGAACTTTCAGTGATGAACATGGTGTTTACCTCAGTGCTCCTAACGTCTGTATGTGATGCCTGGCATTTGAAGTGTGGCTCTTCTGACCAAGAAACTGATTAGGAATTTTAATTTAAGTAGTTGCTACCAAAATTTAAGTTCAGTTATTTCAGCCTTTTTAGCCAGTCATAGGACAGGGGAAAGTTGTTTCTATCAATGTATAATCAAAAATATCAATACAAATAAGGTAAATGTAACATTTAGCTTAACCTTTGTTTGATCTTTATGCCAGACTTCTTTTAATTGACCCTTAAAAGTATGAGTAGGGGCTGGGGAGATGACTCAGTCAAAAGTGTCTATCATACAAGTATGAGGACCTGAGTTTTGATTTTCAGTATCCACATAAAAAAGCCAAGCATAGTCACATGTGTCTGCTTCCAGTGCTAGGGTTCCAACCCTGTAGTGCAGTGTCTAGCCAGTTGGTGGGTGGTGGGTTCAGTGAGAGGCCCTGCCTCAAAAGAATGATGATTGAGGAAGATAGCTAGTGGTGACTAATGTTGTCTGTGACATGCACACGTGCAAACACACACACACACACACACACACACACACACACACACACACACACACACACACAGAGTGAGCACCTGAGATGTAACTAGGTCTAGTGAAGAACTATAAATATAGACACCAAATGTAAAATATTTATAGTTACAATACTAAAAGAATTTTAGACATAGTGAGTCAAGTGATAAGAATTACTTCATTTTACTTTCTAGAGAGTTTCCAATTGCACATATAGCTCTCGTTGTATTAGAATATTGCTCTCATAAAATAAATCCAAGTTACATTTCAGTGCCCAAAATGATTAGTTTCTCTTTGTTCTTCAGCCATCGTAATATCCATAAATCTGGTTCATTTAAAAATGCTTTCTGTCCCCAGAATATTACTTAGTTGAACATTTAATTGACCCTCATACAGCAATCACCACTAGAATGAAAGACAGACAGACAGACAGACAGACAGACAGACAGACAGACAGACAGACACAAACCATGCCCAGTCTTTTAGTAGAGGAACATGAAAAAGAAAACAGTCACATTTAGGGAGGAAAATTGCTGGAAAATGTTTTGCCACTATCTTTCTTACTATTCTTCTATCTTGTCTTTCCCTCCTCAGTTCAACAAGTGACACGTCAGGGACTAAATGTGCTTACACTGTATTACACTTTCACACACTAGTAAATACAAGGTAACTGAGATTTTACCATTTTCCCAAGGCCAATAGTTGATTGACTCTGAACCAGTATAGGATTTTGTGGGTCTAAACAAATGCTTATTCAAAGTAAATGCCAAGTGTTATATAGTCATAGAATTCAGTGTTTCTCTCTCTCTCCCTCTCCTCTCTCTCTCTCTCTCTCTCTCTCTCTCTCTCTCTCTCTCTGTGTGTGTGTGTGTGTGTGTGTGTGTGTGTGTGTGTATGTGTGTGTGTGTGAAGCAAAAACAATACCTATTGCCTTTCTCTCTCAGTGTTTAGCTACAGATTTTGCACAAATCCAGTTGGAGGTCTAATATTCAAGAAAAAGTGATTCATTAGAATTGATTTAATATTTAAACTTTGTTTCTCTAAAGAAGGTATATGATGGGTTCAACAAACAAGTTATTTATGCATGAAAAGAGAAGTAGTATTTTAATGCATAGACAGTATCCAGAAGGATTTAACTGAATTATCATTTGATACTAATACTGCATTCTATTCTCTTTAGTAGAGGGTGTCTACTGTGGGATAGGATGAAACTATGGGTCCCTAAAATATACAGGCATTAGGGAGAGAAAAGGGGAAAACTAAATTATGAAGCAAAATGTAACATTTTCTTAGATGTATTTAGAAGGTTTAATGTCCCTGAAGACTTTGCTTACTGTTAATCATCTCTGTGAAGATTGCTCAGCTGTGTTCATTCAGACACCTGGACAGGACATTAGCCTTGTGGGTCTGAAGAAGCATACGACCAAGATTAGACCAAGCTCTTCAGTGTCTCCTTCTCTGAAACAAATATAGAAGGCACTGAAATACAAATAGCTCCAAGTTTATATTAAAATAAACCTGCTAAAGCTAGGGAAATAACTCAGCATAACTCTGGCAGTTCTTGCATAAGAGTGAGTTCAATTCCCAGCACCCACATGGTGGCTCACAGCCATCCTTAACTCTAATTTGTGGGGATTAGATGCCTTCTTCTGACCTCCACAGGCACCAGGTACCCATGTGGTGTACATATACACTTGCATGGAAAACACTCTTATGCATTGACTAAAATAAATCTAATAAAAAATTAAAATGAACCTGTTAGCCTGTACTGAATTAATGCATAATTTGTAGAATGATGGTTATTTAAATCTTGTGCTTTTTTAACTCTCATCCCAAATTAGCCCTATATAAATAGTTGCCTTCTGTTTTGTCCCCTCTCATACAGCTTATTTTGTAATAGTAGTCTCCGGAAATTGCTGGCAGGACATAACCAGTTAGCAAGGCTCCCTGAAAGGCTAGAGAGAACATCAGTGGAGGTCTTGGATGTGCAGCACAACCAACTCATTGAGCTCCCACCTAACCTCTTCATGAAGGCTGACAGGTAAAGCATTTTGAGTGTCTTCAGTATTTACCTGGGTCTGTCACTGAGGTTTTATCACCTATGATCTGAGCTCATGTGTTGGAACTTCATTATCTCTCCTAGGTATGTGAAAAGTTGCTTTAACTACCTTTCTACCATTTTGTATGGAATGTAAAGTGGTACCTTGTAGATCTTTACTAATTTCATTACTTTTTGTAGAGGAAGGTGTTTTGCACTGTGCTAAACGTGTGTCATGGGAATGAAATGTGAACTCTTATTCCACTCTGTGGACAGGAGTTGTGCAAGCCTTTTTAGGCTTAGCTTAATTATCCGATTGTCTTCATTTCCCCAACAAAAACAACTTAGAGAAAGGGTTTATTTGTTTCACAGTTCCAGGTTATCTATCATCCCTTTATTGTAGGGATGTTCAGGCAACAGGAACTTGAAACAGCTGGTCACATTGCATGCACAGTCAAGTGCTGAGTACAGTGAATTAATGTGTTCATGTTAGTGTTCAGCTCATTTCCTTTACTCTTATTTGGTCCAGGAATCTCTGCCCAGGGAATGGTGCCACCCACAGTAGGTGGGTATTCCCAGTAATCAAATTTGTTTTTGATTTTTGAGGTACTAGGAATTGAACACAGGGCCTGATGTATGTTGGGGTATAGACAAATATTCTACCACTGAGCAACTTTCCTGGCTTCCCCTCATATTTGAATAGTTTTCCTAAATAACTTGTATCTAAGCATTTGAAGAAGTTGATTTCATGAGGAATTGTGATAGTTGGAATGTAATTGCCCTCATAAACTCATAGGGAATGGCACTATTAGGAGGTGTGGCTTTGTTGTAGTAAATATGGCCTTTTTGGAAGAAGTATGTTATGTGGATGCTGGCATTGAGGTCTCATATATGCTCAAGCCACACCCCGTGTCTCAATTCACTTCCTGTTGGCAGTTTATCAAGATGTAGAACTCTTAGCTACCTCTCCAACACTATGTCTGCCTGCACATCACCATGTCCTGCCATGATGATAACTGTAAGCCACCCCATTAAATGTTTTCCTTTATAAGAGTTGCTGTGGTCATGGTTGTCTCTTCACAGCAGTAGAAACCCTAAGACAGGGATTAATTTAAATGTTAAGAGAAATTTTATTTTCCTTTTGAAATTCAGTGAACATTTAATTGGAGGCTGAAAGAAAAACCACAGAGTAGGCAAGTTGTAAATCCTGGCAGCTTCCAGGAGGAGGGAGATGGAGAGGAAGAGGTGAGAAAGGTAGTCCTTTTGAGTTCAGCTCAGCAGTGGAGATGTGCAAGCAGCTGTCCAAAGTGAAGTGGTGGCCATTAGAGAAAACACCAGAGTTTGGGGGTTTTCAGAAAGCAGCCTTGTCACAGGCATCTTGCATATTCAATTGTGATTTGTCTTGGTCGGTGGTTTAGCCACTGTGCTGGATGCTGTAGGCATTGAAAATTGTTGACTGTAGCTGTTAATGCCAAATTGCTTAATCCCTAATGCATTGTTTGAAAAACAAACTATATAGTGAACATAATAGAAGTTAGATTTAAGAGAATAGAAAAGACAGAAGTAGGGTCAGTCTGGCATATTGGTATGAGGAAGAACACTTGGTTACTGTGTGACAAAATGAATTTACTGTTTGTGTGTAGCAGGTAGTTCCAAGGCTTTATTGAAACCACATAAATTCCTCTGTCAGTTTATTCCATAATTCAAATTTTAACAGTAGTTTTTAAAGAATATTTTTGTGATAATAAATTATTGTTTCCAGTTCTGGGCTAGATTGTATCACTGAGAAATAGCACAGTTGGTCTGTTGTCCCTGTTAGCACAGAATTATTTGGTAAACAAATAAGAGAAGATAATCTACTTTCAATTAGGTGACTGACTTCTCTTGGAAAGCTTGGGGCCTATCTTATTAGCATGCTTATGACTTGACCACCAGTTTATGAACTTACTTTTTTTATTCACCTTTGAGTTTTATTTGAGTTGCTTTTAAAAAATGGCCGTTCATGTTCTCTACTGAACTGAAATGTCACATTATAAATATAAATACATGTACACTTATGACAATTAAAATTAATATGTATTTTAAAATAAGCATAAGCTCATAGCTCAAAGTTGTAGATGGATGTGATATTTGGTGGACTATGCATTGTTAAGAAATTGGCTCTGATATTGCATCTTAAGAGAGGGCAGGATTTAGTTCTGTTGGATAAACTGAACATCTTTTTGCTCTGTGATGAGAGTTCTCATGATGGAAACACCGAAGGAGTTTCAGATACGTGGCTGTCACCAACAGATGGTCAGAGGAAGGCTAGGTAATTCCCCGTGGGTCACCAGAGTGAATGAGTCACAACCAGAAGTACTGCCATCCTTCTGTTCTTTCTCAGAATCTTGGCAATGACTGACTCCCTGTCCACCTAGGCTCGCTCATCATGCACATTTGATGGCCAGACAGTGTCTCCCAACTGAATTAATCCAACTAGCAAAGTTGGAAAGAATGCTTTTAAAGGAAAGTTGTATAGACCCCAGTAGTGGTGGGACCTAGGTCTGTTTTTATACCTAGTTGGAGCAGACTGAGGATGCTCAGAGGCAGGAGATGGGGGTGGGAACATCTATGTGCCAATGAGGTTCATGGTATTTCTCATTTGTACTCATTAACTATCCCCAGAGTATTAGTCACACCATAAACCATAAGCTCAAGTGACTCAGACAGAATATGTGTAAATATCAAAGGAACTAAAAGAGAACAAAAAATCAGAAGAAGGTGATCAATTGACCATGACAACTGGTGCTCCTTGGCAAAGACAGATATTTTTGGCATTTTGAAGAGCTGGCTTGCCCACACTTTTTCATTTAAGTGAGATATCTTTGAAGTTCTGGCGTTTGGAGGGATGTGGTAGATTAAAAGTGTTTCTAAAAGCATGCTCTTCAGAATCATCTAGAGAACTTGCAGATTCCTGGCTTTTATCTCAGTTCTACTGACTTAGATGTTAGAAGGAGAGCTGGAATCAGCATGTTTAATGAGGTCAGCCTTGTGATTCTGGTATGCAAGGCCCACCAGACACTGAAAACTCAAGGTGACCATAGGAGGTCCTGCTGACAAACATACCTACAGAAGACTCGGTGGCACTTGGGATAGCACATACTTCATCTCTTATGTTTCTCAAATATTTGTATGTCGTGGCTCTTTGGGGGTTGGTAGCATCAAAATCAGCTGGCAGGTTTGTCAAAAGCAGAGAGTCAGCCAGTGAGAATTACAACAGTATACAGAAAAGTTCCAAGATTTTCCTTAGTCCTGGGGAAGGAAAAGGAGAACATCAGAAGATGGCCAGCTGTGTGATTTTGACAGGCTTCATATTCTGGTGACTAGTTCCACTTGGGGCTAACAGGAATGATCCAGAACATTTTAACCAAATATCATAAATGTTCATAAGAGTAACTGTGTATACTGTTCAGGAAGGATCATCAAGAGTACTATCCTGAAATTGGTGACCTTTGTTACCCAATGTCTAGTGCTCTCATAATAGATGAGGAGGAATCATTTGCTCTTGTACTGGTGCTTATGGCGTCATCTGTTGTTAAGAAACCACAAGGGTGCATTAGGATGGGAGGTGTACACAACTGTGAATTTCATACTTGCCAGGACCCTTGTAGTTAGATTTTGAGTCCACTCCTGCACCACTTACCAAGCGTAACTGAAGGTTGAAGACGAGACACTGGCCCCTGAGAGTTCCTTGGGTAATTGTTCTCTAATCTTAGCTCACAAAGAGGTAAAGCTTAAAGAAAGAAAAGCAAGCATCAGGTTTCATCAAGCAGTCTCCAATTCCATTCCACCCATCTTAGTCTAGGCTGCATATCAAGCCAAGACAGAAGAGGCACTTGTCAGGAGAGCTGAGGGGGACTGGCTTACAACCTATCAGAAGGGTCAGTCCTTAGGTTGGTGTACTGGCTGGTTTTGTGGGTCAATTTGACACAAGCTAGAGAGTTATCAGAGGAATTAAGATCCTGTGGTTCTAGCTTGCTGGGACTGAAGAATCACCTGATTAACAAGATACCAGAGCTACTAAAGCAAGATTTTGCATTCCTGGGATACTTGATGCTGGTCACCTGGAGCTAAGAAATTAGTGGTAATTAAGAAGAGACCAGCATGATTGAGGTGAAATCTTCTGGGAAGTGTTCCCTGAGAGCACAGAAAAGCTGTGTTCCAGAAGCTGTCAAGGTTGTACCTTGTGCTGGCAGCCACACTTGGTAATGTGTAAACGTCACCCAGGTGGTACTGTTTTTGAAGGCATGAAAGGGTCATAGAGAGCAGCTAAGGCTTGACCCTCTGAGAGGCCAGGAGAAGCCATTGGTGAAGGTGAGCCTCGGTGGCAGTTGAAGGTCCAGGACTGATGGGGTCATGCAAGAAGTTGAGACTTGGCACCATGAGGAGAGCCAATGAGAGGCTATTGGTGAAAGTGAAGCCAGTTGCAGCAGAAAACCCCAGTGTTTTAGAGGTGCCTTATTGGGATGACCACCAAGAACAGCAGCAGCAATGCAGTGGAGTCAGCCAGAGCCTAGAAGACATGCTGTGTGTGCTACAGAAGGCAGAGTCAGAGAAGTAAACCAAGCCCTTTGGAGGAGTCCCGAAGATCATGAGTGAGTCCCAGATACTGGATGGTTGGAATTTTGTTTGCTTTGATTGTGAATGTGCCCTGATTCTTCTCTCTTGAAGTAAGGATGTATTTTACTGGAGTTGAGAAACTTGAATTTTAAAAGATTTTGGATTTTTAAGGAGATTGACTATTTTAAAGGAACTGAAATTTTATGTGCTTGACTTTGTAAAGAGTGTGGGACTTTTAAAGTTATTTAAGATCATGGGGATGAGTAAAAAAGGGTAGGGTTGTGGCTTAATAGTGATGTTTTTGTGTGTCAAGTTGACAAGGGGTCAGTTGTGCTGGGTGGTTTTGTGGGTCAACATGACACAAGCTATAGATTAATTAGAGGAAGGAGCTTCAGCTAAGGAAA